CCCCTAGCCCACCACTGTCCTCCCCTGCGGCCCCCTAGCCCAATGCTGTCCTCCCCTGCGCCCCCCTAGCCCAACGCCGTCCTCCCCTGCGCCCCCCTAGCCTAACGCCGTCCTCCCCTGCGGCCCCCCAGCCCAACGCCGTCCTCCCCTGCGCCCCCCAAGCCTAACGCCATCCTCCCCCTGTGGCCCCCTAGCCCAACGCCGTCCTCCCCTGCGGCCCCCCAGCCCAACGCCGTCCTCCCCTGCGGCCCCCTAGCCTAACGCCGTCCTCCCCCTGCGGCCCCGCCTAGCCTAACGCCGTCCTCCCCCATGCGGCCCCCTAGCCTAACGCCGTCCTCCCCTGCGGCCCCCCAGCCCAACGCTGTTCTCCCCCGCGCCCCCCTTTCCCAACGCCGCCCTGCCCTGCCCCCCCCTAGCCAACGACACCCCGCCCTGCGCATCCGTCTGCGCCCCCCCTGCCCAATGCCGCCCTTACCTTCGCCCCCCTCGCCCAACACCCTCCTTCCCTGCGCCCGCCTAGCCCAACGCTGCCCTCCCATGCGCCCTCCTAGCCCAGCTTCGCCCCCATCTGCACCCGCCCTGCCCAACGCCACCCTGCCCTGCACCCTACTTGCCCAGGGGAGGGCGGCGCTGGGCAGGGCGGTTCAGGGCAGTGCAGGCGCGGGGTGGGGCGGGAATTGGAACAGGGCAGAGGTGCCACCCACGTTCTTGTGGGTCTGGGTTCAATTCCCAGCTGTCCCGTACTGACCCATGATACATACACACATTTGTACGAGAATGCATGAGCACACGGATGGTGGGGCACACACATTCACACACAAAGGAAGGAGGGAGGGAAGGAGGGAATGGCCAAGGGAAAGGCCAAGGGAATGCAGGGGACAGCAGAGGGGAAGGCACAGGATGGCAGAAGGGAGGGCAGATGGAAGGGGAAGGGAGGATGATGGGAGGGAGCGTGGAGGGAAGTGGGGGGCCCTGGTCTTGGGGTGGCAAAACGAGGGGGGAAAGGGGGAAAACGCGGCGGGGCGGGTTGGTCAGGAGGGCGTGTGTAAGGGCATGACGGGGGCCCCCTGCAACCTAGGCGACGCATTCGTTGGAACGTCATCATGGCCGCAGTCCGGGGATGGCAAAACGAGGGGGGAAAGGGGGAAAACCCGGCGGGGTGGGGCGGGAATTGGAACAGGGCAGAGGTGCCACCCACGTTCTTGTGGGTCTGGGTTCAATTCCCAGCTGTCCCGTACTGACCCATGATACATACACACATTTGTACGAGAATGCATGAGCACACGGATGGTGGGGCACACACATTCACACACAAAGGAAGGAGGGAGGGAAGGAGGGAAGGCCAAGGGAACGCAGGGGACAGCAGAGGGGAAGGCACAGGATGGCAGAAGGGAGGGCAGATGGAAGGGGAAGGGAGGATGATGGGAGGGAGCGTGGAGGGAAGTTGGGGGGATGATGGAGGAAGGGTGGAGGAAGAGTGGGAAATGGTATTGTGGAGGGATTATTGAGGGAGGGTGGAGGGAGGGAGGGAGGGAGGGAGGGAGGGTGAAAGGGTGGAAGGATGGAGATGGAGCGCCATGTCTCCCATAGTTCACACCCCGAAGGAAAAAACAGCCACACGGCTCTATGGGCCCGGAGGCCTCAGTGTTATTAGCATATGCATCATTCGCGCCCACACGAATCCCCCAGGGTCCCTGTCGTATTTAAGTCATTTAGCCGGCGGCTCATCCGTTCGTTTGACTGGACATTCATAGGAGAGTCATCACACACACACACATAACCAGCAGAGGCACACAAACGCGCGGCACGCTAAAACCCGCCATCAAGCCTATAATTTATTTAACTTTTGGAGAGACATCCCCAGACTCCCGGATGGGCAGTGGCAGGTGTTGTGTCGTGTGCGGGGTTTTTTAATTGTCTGGATGTTGCGCTCACAACACATGGGTGAGGGGCTCTTGCTGTGATGTTTCGTCTCACCGCCCACAGCCTTCACCACACAGCCTCTGGGGGTCAGTTGTTTTTTCAAACACGCCACATGACGCCACCACACGCCGCCCTGATTCATTTGGAGGCCACAATATCCCAATGTGCCAGAATGTCTCGACGACGCCGGGGTTATGGGGGATGCATTTGCAATACGTCCAAAGCATGATATACACGTCGGGTGCATGCAATGTGGTATGGGATGTGGGGTACGTTTAGATTCTTTATATGGGACAGAGGGCGCAAAGGGTCGTCCAGCTGTGGAGGGCTGGAGAGAGGTGCCGTGGGGGACTCTTTTTAACATCTTTTACACAAACGCTTTTGTGGCGTTTTTGTGGGTAGGAATGCATGTGTTTTGTCTTCTCCCACTTGTGGTGGTGTAAGTTGTTTTGAGCCACACCATCCTGTGGCGCGCAAGCGAGATTTTGTGCGCACGCAGCTGCAGCTGCGTGTGTGCATGTGCATGCATGCGCTCGAGCTGCATATTCGTTACCGACCCGTGGGTTTTCCTCTGCCCCGACGACGCCCTGTGGCGTCCTGCTTCCCGTATGCTAGTTTTAGCACGTGTGGAACAATTTAGGGCAGAACGATAGGTGTGATGGGAGCGACAAGCAAAGCTGTCGTGCTCAAATGGAGCGCGCTCAAATGGATGTTCGGCGACATGTTGACAACGCCACACACAAGCAACTCCACAGACTAAAGCGGGTGATGCGCATATAGACGTGTACATGATATTTGAGGACATGACCTGGTGTATGGTCCCTTTCCTCTAAGCGGCCGCACAGCCACGGGCGGCTAATGTCCGGACACACCATCGAACATCAACCGCCTGGCAAACTGTGCTTAATCAAGCAACATAGCATATCAAAGTGCGGCATCCTTGATATGCATTCGATTACAGCGCATACAATGTCGAAAAAGCCGACAACAACTCAGAGCGGCACCGGCTCATACAACGGCTCGTACAACCACTCCAACCAGCGAACAAACATTCCAAATCGCGACGCGACAGCATCTCACGCAGCTGTAATATCGTGAACAACGGAAAAGAAAAACCGCTTGTCCATGCATTCCGCCTACCGTTTCCATAGCTTCAGTTCCCAACGCAGCCATCAGAAAC